TTTTTTCAATTCGCTTATCATGCATTGTAGCATTGATAGAACTAGTCTGATTTTTTTATGAGTGGTACAAGTATTAGTCTATGTATGCTAGACTGGTCTATCAAAAGACTTTTCTCACTTTACGAGTATACTTTCTGACACTTCTCACATATCATTTAATGAATCTTATATAATGGTTACTCTAAAGAAAAAATAATAGTAAGGTTCAAATTTCACCATGAAATCTTTCATAGTTCGTTGATGACGAAATGACTGTTAGTACTGCAGTTTACCTCCAAATTATTGACAGAGCATATACATAAGTATGTAATAATATTTCATAATAGACAATAACATTGCTCAATTTGACTGCTCATTATTACGCTTGTGATTTATTCAATGAGATGACACCACCGATTAGGTAAGTTTATCTTTATCGATATGGATATTAATTACACAAACTTCGTTCAGTGATCTTGAATATTTGGCCGATGTTAACGCAGGTATTATTCAAGTCATGCAAACAGTTGATCCAGATGCTATATGGTAGAATTTTGTGATTAATAACATATTTATTTCTTGTATTTATGATAAAGGGTAATGCAAGCTTGGTTATTTCTATCAAATTTTTGGACAGCTGATCGAGTCAAAAGTTATCTTAGTAAAGTTCCAATAGTAGGAATAGTTTTGTTTTTTTCGTTAAAAAGAGATATATATAAGTTGAATTTAGGGTCATTTAATTCTACTCGATCTATTTTCTGAAGCTATTCCACAATATTCACGTTTTGAGTCGTTTTATGGACATTATTATATATGGAACATGTTGCATGATTTTGGTGGAAATAATTTTCTATTTGGTTCACTTGTCAATGTTACTAATGTAGATAAAAATTTTCTTCAGTCAAAAACAATCTTTTTTAAATGACGTTAGGGTCCACAAGCAGCACGAACTTTTTCCGGTAACCATATGATTGGAGTTGGTATTACAATGGAAGGTATTAATCAAAATGAAATTATGTATGAATTTGCTCTCGAACAATCATGGCGCAATCCATTAAATGATATCGAATTGAACGATTGGTAATTTTTATTCAATTTTTTTCTTTTTTTTTCAAAATAAAGATTTGATATATTAGGCTCATTGGTTTCGTTATGCGTCGATATACAGGTGATCGTCCAGTACCTAGTTCAGCATTATACGCATGGCAATTATTAGGAAATTCAGTTTATCGGAAAAATCTTTATGGTGATCGCTCAATAATGCTAAGTAGACCGAGACTTAACAGAGAACAAGATGTAAGTTTTGTGACCATTTTAAATACGATTTCTTGATTGAAAATCGTTCATAGGTCAATTTTGATATGAAATCATTATTCTTAGCATGGGAATTATTAGTCGATGCATCAAATGAACTTGATTCAGATTTATTTCGATATGATTTAGTTGATATAACTAAAGAAGTTCTTCAATATAAATTTGTTAGTGTTTATACTCAATTTATGTCAGCTTATAATCAAAGTGATCTTTATGGTGTTGGGTCTGTTAGAAAAAAAAACTTCTTTTTTTGTCGTATTTGAAATAGATTGATATATTTTTAGTAATCAAGCAGCTATTCTTGTTGATATCTTAGCAGATACTGAATTAGTATTAGCTTCTGATCGTCGGTTTTTATTAGGAAATTGGATTCAAGATGCATTACAATTTGCACAAACAGAAGAAAATATTCATTTTTATAATTTCAATGCTAAACTTCAAGTATCAATATGGGGAAATAATTATACATTAGGTTTGTATGATTATGCAAATAAATTTTGGTCAGGAATGATTCAAAAGTATGTCCTCCAACATTAGGTTAATCATATTATCAGTTTTTTTCTTATTTTTATAGTTATTATGCTCAACGATGGTATGTTTTCTTCGATGTTGTTATTAAAAGTCTTATTGAAGTATGATTTTCATTATTTTTATTAGTTATTTTTAATAATGTGGAATCATTCCAGGGTCATCCAATAGATTCAAATCTTTTGGGTGAACGTTTATTTCTTGAAGCTGAATTGCCTTTTTTTATGTTAGATATAAAAAAATATTCAACTAATACACAAGGTAAATACTCTTATTGATTTGATTTGAGAAAATATTCTTTTGTTTTTCATTGATAGGTGATTCAATAATGATTGCTCGCCAATTATTTAATAAATATTATTCATCTTTAAATGATATTTATTTGAAAGAAAAATCTACAAGAAAAACATTTCCTTTTAAATATCATTTTGATTAAAACACATTCAATAGAAACTTGAATTTTTCTTACTAAATTTAAATCAAATATTTTTTTTTCGGTGATTGTGTTTTGCTTTATTGTGATTAAAATATTATTAATATTGTTCTTTTTTTTTCTTTCTGCGGTCTAAACCAATTTCTTAAGTAATCTTACAAGATTTTAATGCTGCAAACTGTTTATTAATATGACACTGTAATAAATTGATGTTCATGATTTGTTCTTTTATAGAGATATCGACAGGCACAATAATATTAATAAAAAAAAAAAGAAAACAAATCGTCTGTTTGAAAGCTAGACTATCTTATAAATGGTATAAGTATGATAGATAAACTATGTTTAAGCAATTTAAATAGAGAGATAAAAAAAGATGGATAACTGTTTCTCTCATAATTCTGAAGAAAGTTATTTTATCTTCTTATTAATATATTTAAAAACTTTTGTTTAAATTTGATAATGAAATAAATCTTATGTACTAAATCAAGAATACTCAGGTGTGATATTCCTTTCGTCAATTTCACCGTACATATTATCTCAATTCAATGGTCATTTAATAAGATCTTGTAGTATATTTTCATATGTCAATCACGAAGTTACCATTTCTAATGAGATCGACTTAAAAGTTATTGTCATACTTTTAAGAATATGATACAACTGAATTCCTCGTATCTCTAGATTTTATTCATAAAAAAAACTGAACATCAAGGCATCATTTGCTCATGGAAAAGATTTCAAACTGATACATGCCTTAACACTCTTTGTACTGAGCTAAATCAAGAAATGCTCATTTCAAAGTCGCTCTCTCTTGGTACTATTGTCTGGTTATAATTATTTTTTCAATGAGTACTTGATGAACCATTATAATAAATGTAAAAGAAAAATCTGTTTTCAAATACTTTAAGATGTAGTCGATTTGAAAAGAATTATTTTTAAGTTGATGTTTGAGGAAATAGTAAAGCATTGATTTTCATGCTAAGTACTCACAAGATTTAGGATAATTGAAGATCGAAAAGATCAGATAACTATCCAAGACATTACTCGAATAAATCAACTCACGCAAGCTGAACTGTCTATTTCTGCGTGAGATTGAAACTAATATACAATATTTCTACTTCTATTTAATAAGGAATATCTGATGTCTAGTTATTGAATAGTTAATGGAAAAGAAAGAGGCTGATCTTTTAATAAAACTTGCTAATTATGAATAAATTTACACTTCATCATAGTAATTTGATATCGAAGATACTTTAATATGTTTTAACAAGAAAATAATTAAATGAGTAACTGAAACATTTAGAAATGCTATTTTGGTATATATAGAAAATTTTCTCTAATATTGTTTTTCTCACATCCATTACATTGTTCTTTTCGATTCACAAATGACATTTATCGTGATTGTTTTAACACTTAATGATAGCTTTTATGGCTTGTTACAATTTTTACGTACGAACCTATTAATTTTAATATATTGATCAATCTTTTGTGTGCTGAATTGTTAATTAATTCTTTTTGTTGTTTGTTTGCTTTTGAATAGATGAATAGTGCATAAGTTTTAATGCAGACAGTCAGTTGTTATTGAATTCAGATAATATTCAAATTTATAATGGATTGATTTTTGTTTACAAGCAATATTAGATATTAAGATTATAATGATCTTCTGAACTCCTCCATTTCTGAGTGAACAAGAATCACTGAGAGATAACGCTTTTCAAGATCAAATGAATAATTATTCATATACTGGCAATGGTCTTATGGTTGACTAAGCAGACAAGGATTGCAAAATGAAACAAAAATAAGGACTGATTTATCAAAAATCTATTTGAATCTCTGTTGATGATATCTGGTAACATGGTTAATATTGAAAAGCATGAGTATTAAGATCTTTGCACTATGATAAAAATTTCATCAGGGATATAGCTAGAATCTGATGCAGTCAGATTAATATCATATATTTTTTTGTTGCATGTGTAGAGAAAAATTCAAAAGCATAGGTAACAAAAAAAACGATTGCCTAATCCTCTAAAAATGGAAGGCTCACTGTTATTTATATGAACCGACAACACGTGATGGGTCGTTAGCTTGTTGAGTTTGTAATGATGGTTGTTGTTGTAATGTCATTGATGTCAAATGTTTGCCAATTCGATCATGAACCTAAATAAATCCATATTTGTAAAAAAAAAAACAAATTTGATAACAAGATTTTTGACTTCTTACATCCATGTATTTGGCAACACATCGATCAATACAAACAGATTCACCTATAAATATACAAATGATTAATCTAGTGAAATTTTCAATAAAATCTACCTTTAGTTAATTCCGAATCTTTATATCTTGGAATAACACATTTTTTATGACAAGCCGTTGTCATTCTTTATTTGAACAAAAGTATTCATTTATTTTCTTTAAGTAAATCTTATTTTCATACCGTTTATAAAGATCTTGCATCATTTCAATTTCAAGTTCACCAGCTGCTTGCCATTGATTTGAATTAAGTTCATTTGCCATACTTTCTTTTCTTTTCTTTTTTTTTTATCTTAAATTTTTAATTTAAAGTCAGTTCATCCTAGTAGGCATGTCTTTATGTACATAAGGAAAAAAAAGAACAAGTTAAGAATAAACACAAAAGAAAAAAAATATATATATGTATAGCAATGAATAATAAACACAGCGCTGAATAGAGATGATCACTGTATTTCTCTTTTAATAAACAGACAAAAAATAAAATAAAATGAAATTGATTTTAACGAACATTTACATGATGTTTTGAAGATCTTGTATGTGCTGAAGGTGGTTGCCATCGTTCAGGTATTGGAAGATATTCAAGTGGAGTGAATCGAAAACGAGCTTCGAAATGATGATCATAATCAAGTGCTGCAATATTTGATTGATCATATCGTCGATCGGAATATGAATGATCAACAAAGTCAGAAGATGCTCGACGAATTGTACCATTATTGTTTGTCGGAGCTACACCTCGAGGTGGAGGTGGAGGTGGTGGCGGTGCTGGAGGAGGGCCATTAAGATTGATCTGTTTCGGAGATTTTGAAATATTATCTGATGATGAATGATCATTATTAGTTGAAGAATATGGAGGTGGTGGAGGTGGTGGAGCACGAGTGTTTTTTTGTTGGAAACCTGAAAAGTATATTAAAAAATTTCTTGAAAAAAACGAGAAGAGGAAAACAAACCTATTAATGAAGATGATGGATGTCCTAGTTTCGGTTTACTTTCATTCGATGGTGGTGGTGGTGGAGGTTCACGTGGAGGAAGCCTCGGTGCTTGATGAGTAAAATTTCGTGTTGAAGCGACACCATCAACTAAATCAAATAAAAATATTTCTTTCATTCATTTTTCAAAAGAATTTTTTCCTTACTTCCATGATGAGATTGATCAAATGAAGGTGTTTTTACAACTGGTTGATGCACAGGTGGTGGCGGTGGTGGTGGGGGGGGAGTAGAAGTAGTCGCGTGTGGAATTGATGGTCTTTTAACTTTTCCAGTTGATCCACCAATAGCAGATGGTTTCAACATTGTAGCATTAAGTTGATTTGGTGTGATTAGTGGAGCTGTATTTGGTCTTTCATTTATATTTGATCGATTTGTAGTAGAATTTCGCGTATTATTATTAGTTGAACCTCCAATAATCGGTGCACTTCTATCATTAGTAATCGTTTTTTTAAGAGCGCCTATCTTGAAGTTTCCAATTTCATTTAAAAGACAAGATCGATCGCCACTAGCTGTCATCGACGCTGGCAGCAATGGTGGTGGTGGAGGAGGCGGTGGTGGTGGTGGCATCTGAAACAGAAAACTTTGAAAATTTTATTTTAAAGCTAGTATAAAATCCATCAACTAATCTAAAATGTCACTACAAAACAAGCAAAGTGAGTAATAGAAGAAAAATTTGTAAGTAAAAAAAAACATACATAATATTCATTTTTTTCTCGTTTTAAACACACGTGTGAATCGACAAATAGTTAGCCATGCTGCACTCAAATTCTTTATAAGATAAATAACGATAAAAATGAATTTTTTCTGCGCTGAAATAAGAAAGAAAAACGATAGTGAAAACTATATTGAGATAAATTAACTGTTCTTAATTATGTATATAATACTGTTATGTATGAAGAAATCCCTGAAAGCAATAGTAACGAAAAAATAAACAAAATTAATATGATTAATCATAAACTGAATGAAAAAAGAAAATAAAAAAAAAAAATTTTTTTGAATCACAACATTTAAGTTAAAATTGGGCTTTATTGGTTAAGCTAAGTTCTTTAATTAAAGTTGCTGTTGTTGTTCGGGTGCTGATAAATTTTGTTTTGAAAATGATAAAACTCCCATTTGTAATTGATGTTGTGTTGGTTTTTGACGATGTTCTTTTTGTCGTTTCAATACTGGAATAGCAAAGAGAATAACACCACTTAATAAAATCGAACCACCAAATATTAAATATGGCCAGAGATAAGGTCGATCAAAACCCGAAAATGCATCACGCATTGTACCTTAAACAATTAAATATATTGAAAGAAAATTTTTCTTGATATTCTTTTTTCTTACCAACGATTGGTGTTCCAATAGCAACAGCAACACCTTGAAATAATAAAAGAACACCAAAAGCATCAGATAATTTATCAACACCAACTAAATCTACAATAATAATTGATGTTAAACCAACATAACCACCAGAAAAAAATCCAAATAGTGCAGCATAAGTCATATGTGTTTGAACAAGAGAATTACAAAATGGCGCAAACATTGTAGCTATACCAGCAATTATTAATGTGGTATTGTATAATGTTAAACGATTAACCTGAATAAAAAAAGAGAAAGTAAATTATGTAGAAAAAATATTTTTTTTTTGTTACCCATGATCGATCAGCTAAATAACCGATAATGACTCGACCAAAACAATTGGCAATACCAATTGACATAATAATCCAATGTCTTTGATGTTCAATAACTTTAGCATCAGCAGCTAAATCATTAGCGAAATTGTATGGAACATTAAAACCAAGACTTGTTAAAAAATTTGATATAGCAAATAAAGCAAATGCGGCATCTTTTAATAAACTAAGGTCAATTTGTTCAGCAATTCTTGCAAAAAATGACTTTTTTGGGGCTTTTTTGATTGTTTCATTTGTCATATCACTTGTTGTTATCATTTGACGATGATATTCAGTAGTATCCTCGTTATATAATGGAATATTGTGTAAACTACCTTGATAAATGGCATCTTTGCGTGAAACTACAACTGGTAAATCATTTGTTACTGTTTTGGACACATTTTCATGAGATCTCGAAAGAATTTCGTCTGGAGGATTATTAATATAAAGGTCCTTCTGCTTCAAATCTGATAATGATACTCGGCGTTTATCGTCAGATAGACATTCTTGTTCAGCAGGAACGACAGCAGTTGATTCTTTTGGAACTACACTTATTTCTTGTAATGGGATCTCACTAAAACAAAACACAAATAAGATATAACTAGAGATCTCACAGATTGCTGGTTGATCGTGCGCAACAAGAGACTATCGGGATTTATTGCATTCATTGCGCCTGCAGAATTTATCATCTAATAAGAGTATAAAATATATTTTAAATATATAAAACAAGAAACACAAATGTTGTCTTGAAATCATCCTCAGTCAAATATGGATCCTCAACATTATTCATCCTATTTAATGAAAAAAATCGAATACTAAGAACTTGTCTTTCTAATAAAGAATTCTTTATAGAATTGATTACTGATGGAAAAAAAAGATTTCGCAATTTGCAATAAAAAATATTTTTCTTTTTGTTAAAAGAATTCATCCGACATGATTTACTCAAATAACAAATCTAAATTTCAAACCTTTCTCGATTTGTCGGAAGTAATGGACCTTGTTGTTCATTATTTAGACTAGTTGCAGCTCCTGCTTTGAGCGCTTGTCGTTTAGCTTCTGCTCGTGCTTTTCGTTCTACGCGTCTTATTTCACTCGGTTCTTGTGGCAACGGAATCTAAAACAAGAAGTAAAAAAAAATCTTTTTTAACGAGATGAACAATACCATTAAAGCACCAAATATGACACAAATAAAGATAACTGCTGCCTCAAGTAGAAGAGCGCCTTCATAATCAAACCACAATGGTGCATTTATAATATATGGCATAACGGCTGGAAATGCTAGTGTACCCAAACCTGAACCACAAACCGCAATACCCATAGCAAACGAACGTTTCGTTTCAAAATAGAAACCAACAGATACAATAGCTGGTAAATAGATTAAACCAAAACCAAGGCCTATTGTCACATAAATCCATGGTTACCAAAAAAAAACCAGAATTTCTTAGAAGACTTACCTCCAATAATGCCAATCGCTAGATAATAAAACCAAAGATTCGCCCAAAAATAGCTTGCTAAAAATCCAGCAGCAGCTAAACAAGCTCCAACTATTGTCACCTTTCGACATCCATATGTATTTGTAAATATGGTTGCAATAGGTCCTAAATATGTACTATTACATAAAAAGCTTATCTTCAAAGAAAAATTCGTCACCTGTTGCAAGTGTTATTGCCGGTAAAATTCCAAAAATAGTTGAAACAGGTCCTCGAGTTTTATTTAAATTATCCATCATAGGACGTAAAAATACATCACCCATTGAATATGTTATTCTATTATTTTACAATAAATTTAAAATTTAAACAAAATGATTTACTCACCCATCCATTATAAAATGTATCATAAGAGATGCAAATACAATAACCCATCCCCAACCACCATCAGGCACAACAGCTCCAGGAACTGCACTGTTCGTATTCCCGCCACTCGTCATTTTTATTGTTCCATTCTGAAAGAAAAAAAAACAGAAATAAATTAAATGAGCTAGACAGCTGTGCTTTTCATTGTCGATTAACTCTTTTGCCGTTTTTAACAGTAGCAAACAAATGGATAGATAACAATCATTTGCTGCCTTCTAAAAAAAGGCGAAACAATTTAAAAATTGAAATGAATGTATTTTTATCGACTCAATGTACATATTTGCACGAACGTAATAAATGCTTCGAATCTTTCGTCGTTATTCAAAATATAAAGACAAAAAGAAATATCAAAAGATTATTTTCAAAATAAGAAAAATATTTTTTTTTGGGCTTCAAAAAGAAAACATAAACAATCAAAAAAAAGATTATTTAAATTTTTCTCGCAATTGATGCCAACGTTGAACAACTGATGTTAATGATTCCCACATGAGTTTATAACCATATTTAACATAGAAACTAAAAAAAGAATCAACTAAGAAAATGTTTTGCTCTCTTTTCTTTTTTTGTTTTTCTGTACTTACATGCCGAACAATACTCCACCTAGATGTGCTGAATGATCAAGATAACGCCAGCGCATTATTGTACCGAAAAGATCAAAGGACACCATAGATATAAGAGCCTACAGAATAGCATTATTATATATCTCGTATGTTATGAGAAAAAGAAAATTTTCTCTTTACTGATTTAGCAGAAAAAGTAAAGAAAGGAAGAAATATTATGGCTAATTGTGCATCAGGAAATTGCGTACAAATGGCACCCAATAGTGCCATTATTGAGCCAGACTAAAAATAAAAATTGGTAACACAGAACATGTTTACACTACACGAACAGTAATACATTCTTTCAAAATTAAATAAAATTTTTTTTAGAAGAGAATTTCGTCTATGTTTGTAATCATATGAAACAATTATAAAAGAACGTATCTCATAGATCTGGACTCGTTAAATTTTTTCTTTCATTGTAAATAAAGTTTTTCTAAAAACGACAGAACTAGGTTGACGGGGTATTTTTTTGTTTCCAGATGGCAGTAAAATTTTACATGAAACATAATAATGACATTTTTTGAAGGATCTTTTTCTTTACACTTGTTCTTGCGAACAAATCGGTAAAGGCATCAATGTATTTAGTACTTTCATTTACTTCATGATGTCAAATGTCGGCTATTAATTCAATGGATTTCGTTGTCAATAAGTTTTGAAATTTAATTATGGTATTATGATGTTTATAGTAGAATAACATACATTGTTATATGATTTGAACAAGATAATTTTCATATTTCAAATTTTGAATAAATAATTAAAACAAGGTTTTCGCCAATTTGAGATAAAGCTTTATTATATATATAGAGGGTTACGAGGTCAGACGTGAATAGATGTTATATTCAAATAAAATTCATTCAAAATAAGGTTTCCTAATATCGATTATAATGATTTTAAAACTCATCGTTCTCTCGTTCAACAAAAGCAAATTCTTTGAAACTTTGATAGATTATTGCACATATTTAATACCATATAAGTACGAAGTTGGAAGTCTATAGGTTTTACTATGAATGAAAACCAGTAACAATATTATCATGTAGTATTTGTTCAATTTTCCTTAACATCTCAGTTATCATTTTAAGAACAATACAACTTTTAAAAATAAAAAAAAAAACAAATCAAGTTTTTAATCTTCATGCAGTTGATTACCACCTGGATTATTTACTAAATTTGTTTTATTCATTCTTTGTTTGATGTCATTTTTCAAATTGTTCAATATCAGTGTATTCTCGTAAAAAGATGGTTAATAGCATTCAAAGACAGCTGCATCCTTTGTTTAAGATCTTGACCGGCTCAAAGAATAACATTTTGTAAGTCATGTCATTCTTTAGCTGCTTTTTCTGTTACAATGGTACGCATAAATTTTGCAAATAGTCGCCAGTAAAATACATTTTCTTACGACAATCACTACCTTCTGTTGACACATGTTGACTAAATTAGGGCCTGGAAATAACATTTCTTCTACCATTTTTATATCAAATTTTCGATGCTGGAATATTGAAAAAATTGTACATGACAATATTGTTACTGGTTTTCAACCAGAGTAAAACCTATGGACTTCAAACTTTGTACTTACATAGTACTAAGTATATGCAATAATCTGCCGAAGTTTGAAACAGCTTGCTTTGTTCAACGAGAGAATGATGTATTTTGAAACGGTTTCAGAACATGTGGGACGGATTTTATATTCGAGTGCCACTAGTTCACAGTGGAGATTATAGGTAAAACTATGAAGTTGATCAAAGATTATCATAACATCGAGGATAAAAAAAAACAGGTCTCTGTATGTTAAGTGTTTCTTCTTCATATCTAATGATATAGATTTTGTGTTAATGCCAAAATGTTGACACCACTTTTCGCTACGACTTAACCAGATTCGCTTTTTTTACATTTCTATTGTTACCTTTTGGCCTCAGTTTTCTTCAAAAGGTTCACTGAACTAGGGATCCTATGGAAAAATTTGACTCTGTTGACTCGTAGGGTGCAGTGTTTACTTCTTTGACAAATAATACTTGCAAATTACTTTTCAGATGACGAGTTTTCAACGTATGAAACTCGAAAATTATTAGTCTAGACAAAAATTAGAATTTTTCGAGTGTAGAGGAGCCAGAAAAGATTATCAACAAGCAGCAGCGGCTCATAAAAGAGCAATTTTTTATCTATTGCTATAAACGATGATGCGAATTAATGATTATATATATGAAAGCGTCTAAACTAAGTATTATTTTATTATAAGTATTGTTTTTTTCATGCTATCTATTTAAAAAAAAAGAAAAATAAATGTGTTGAAAATAAGCGAAAAGGATGATTATTTTTGGGCTGATAAAAAACATTTTTAAAATGACTGCTCATTTAAAACATACTCTTATAAACTTTTTAAAAGGATAATCAATCCCTTAATTTATAAAAAGCACATTTTGTCAACTGTCTAGATTATAACCAATCAGAGAATAAAACATTCAAGAAAAGATAAAAGCATATTTAACATTGATATATTTATCTTTCGTAATAAATAAAACTGAATTCAATTTAAAATGCTTGTTTTCTCAAATATATTAGGAACTAAGTTCAGTCTTGAATGAAAGATGAGAGCATCAATTAAATTTTATGCATGAGTAATAATTGCCGGGTTAACTTTTCATAAAAAAAAAGTCAATATTGAATGTAGAAATGGAAATTTTTCTTACAAGAAAAAATTCATCCGACGTTAGATCTTGTTGACTAATCATGTATCAATCAGATTTTGTCTCTTACTAAAAAAACAAAATCCGTATGTCTAGTCAAATAGAACAATAATAAACAACGACATACTATATAAAAATAAACTATAGATATTAACAGATTATTCATGCTGATCGCTTCTCAGATGACGATTCCAGTTAATAACGTAATCTTTAGTTACTTATAAGCATGATCAAAATGTCATAGTGGCATATATTCCTTCCATCAAGCATAAACGCTTAATATTCTGATAGTAAATGTCATTGAGGAACTAAACATATATCCCTTATTGATACTTACCGCGCCGAGAGAAATATTTGGTGTTCGTGTCACGATTTTGAATACATAACTTAACCAAGAAGAAATCACACCTTCACAAAAGAAAACAACAATCAAATTTATTGATCTAAGTAATCAATGACCATACCACCAGAGAGAAAAACAGCTGAAAGACACATAAAACTTGTCGAATATTTGTAAAACAAATAAAATGAACTCACCAAAAAATTGTTCTTTTCCAAACATTCTTATAACTGGATCACTAAATGACCATAAAACATACATATTACAAAAAAAATGTATTCCATTATAATGACTAAAAGTTGATAATAACATTGAACTAAGATTTGCTAGTAGAAAATCAACAGCAAAAAAAACGTTACTTTTTTTTTAAACTAAATTTAAACTTACGTTTATAAGGACTTGATGTAAAATATTTTAATAAAAATGGTTCAAATCGCTTCACTCTCCATGCAAGAAAAACCATTAAATTCAAGCCAATTATTGTTCCTATCACTCGTTTAGATTCGGAAACATCACGCCAAATATTTTTCAACTAAAATAAATTAATATGTTTCACCAAATCATATATTAATGTTTTTCAAAATACTTGTGATGATATTTGTTGAGGTTTGTCTTTTAATTGCCAACGTTCTTTTATTTTTCGTAATTTATTTCTATGAGATTCGTATTGCCAAATAGCACATGTTACAAATGAACAGCCTACAAACTTCGAAAAATGAAAATAAATATTTAAAATGGCAAAAAAATGTTTGTTAACATACACCAATAGTAAAAATAGTCGGTCGAATGAGAAGATAACTTCGATGTGTTTCTTTTTGAGGCTCAACACGCAAAATGCTCGATTCATCGAAATTTTTTATTGAACGACGTGGTTTTGGTTGCAATGAATTACGTGAAATTTGTGTACGAAACTGTTGAATTAATCGTAAATAAGGTGATGCTGAACATTTTGTTGATGATAAAATCCATTTTGAATATCTTATCCACATAATAGAATTCTTCTGAACCAGAATAGAACAATGATGCAAGGCCAACAGAAAATAAATAAATAAATAATGAATAAAGCATAGCTTGCATGGATAGCTTTTTTATTCATTCGATTCGATGCATTAAATGACGAATTAAAGAGTTTATTTCAGATTCATTGATCTCGAGCGACATCTTTGCTCATCATATTAATATCGTATGTAAACTTTGTTCGACATCTTTTTAGGTATTTTACATGATATTTACGATAAATAATAATACTTTAACATACGAAAGATAACAAACAATACATATAATGAAGCAATTTCTCCTGTTCTTGGACATTAACCAGTTACGACTATCAGATTTTTCTAGATTGTGTTGCAAATTAAGATCGTTTCTTATTAGTATTCATTGGTACAGATTACACCGATTTGTTGCTTACCTACACCACTATAAACGAATCATTCTGAAATTATCAAGTTCTATTTGACATTGCTTTTTAAGAAAAGAAATACTGCTGAAGGAAATAATACAGCATGTACTACGTCGTACATAAACAATCAATGAATTATTTCTACATTTGTTTGTCATGCAAATAATTTCTGCTTATTACTATCTTCACTCATCGTTTTTATTCTTGTAGAATACCATAGAGCATCATGATCAAGAGGAAAACAATAGAATTCATAGACCTATCTAATGCGAAAGCAGTAAGAATGATAAATCTTGTCGTTTTAGTGAACAGATAATAGATGTTCCATTAGTCACTTTCTGTTTTCTGTTTGACTCAATATTCGCTCAACAGGTTCATATTACAATCATGCTGTAATAAAGAAAAAGTGTATTAAACTTGTCATAATTCACAGGGATTCATACATAAAGCAGTACAATATAAGCAATAAGCTTGATAAATCATAGAGAAGTGATAAAATGATTAATTTAAAATAAAACACCTTTTTTTGTCGAAAGTTTTGTTGAAATCATTTCATAATGAGATAGTCTTACACATATTGTTGGAACCACATTTACAGAAATTCGTGTTCTGCATTGTTTACATCATAATGGTGATGAATAATATGCCTTGAAAAGAATTTATTGCTATATGTGAATCGAGTCAATATTATTTTAAACTAGTGCATGCATGCTATTTAATAAAGTTTAGAAACAAAGTCAATATGTTAGTAAACAATAGAGTTAGATAAATGGTAATATATTCTGTTATTTATCAGAAAATTGAATTATTCATTGTTTTCTCACTATTGGGAATGTGAAGGGCTCATCATGATTCCGTTCCTTAACTGAAAGAGTAAAGTATTCTTTTATTTCATGCGACATATTTAATTTTCTTATATTTTGATTTGTTTTCTTATTCCATTATCACTAAAATTATCTTTTTCAAAAAATCTTCGCAATGCGTTAGTTAGACTTTCGAAAGCATTATACGTCATTATCAGGATTGTCTCTTTGATAGATATGATGCAAGTTCATTTTCGGTCGTTTTTTTTATTCTGGTTAACATAAAATTGTTGTCACAACACATTCAATGACGTCGGATACGTCTCAGTTTTTACATTATAATACTAACTTTTTACATATATACGAGAGAGGTTTTAATAAATGAAAAAAAAGCTTTATCTAGAAATTTTATTAATGTCTTAGATTCCGAAAACGTTCATCAATAAAAACACTTATTATTCCCGACAAAGAATCTCGTTTCGAGTCACCATAAGGAGTTCTTCGACAACAACGATTTTGCGCCGGTTTGTGAAGAAAACAAAAGGTAGAATCAATATAAAAAATACGTATGTATTTATTTAGATATTCTATGTTGTATTTTGTTTCTTATATTTATGATTTGTTTTGTTGTTTTAAATATTTTCACTTTTAAAGGAGGTATTTGTATAGTGATTTATTTATTTAAAATTTGTGATTAGCATTTCTATGAAATGAATAAGTGAACTAAGGCTTTGATTGGACAAAATGTATAAAGTCATTTAATATACCATCCAATATTTTAAAAGGTCGCCTATTTGTTTGTCCTACAACACAAGTTTGTGTTGAGCAATGTTCGACTAAAATATCTTATTATAAATTTGAAAATTATCGTGCGAATAGAGTTTGTAAATATGATGTAGCTTAAAGTGAAAATAATAATGAACACTTAGTTAAGTCTGCAAAGCGTGCATTATATATTATTGGTAGTAAATCCCGGGCTAGCAACTCCGAAGGTGTCGAATGGGGTGCAAAAAGTCTCAAATGGGATACTTGTGGGGTACACTGATGGAGCACATAATTTTTCCAAAACGTAAGAGTATGGCGCGAGAAAAACGGCTGGAGTAAATGCTCTTTTTAGCACATGAGAGGCCATATTTAGCTTTCTCTCTCCGGCACATGTTTCAATGAGGTTGTTGTATTTTCGGATCCGTGCTCAGCTGCTGCTTTGCTTTCTTCTACGATCGTGATGTCTGAGTGAACCAGGTCGTCGTTTTTCATTTAGTCAAAATTATAGTCAAAAATGATTTTTTAGCCTTTCGAAGATAAATCAAGATGGATAGACAGGATTTCTCAAAAACAAGAGAAAAAGCTCAAAACTCAAGGGAGAAAACTAAATTTTTTATTTTACTGGATTTAAAAGGCAATTATTGCGCAATGGATAGTATCTGAATATTATACTCAGAGACAGCTTTCATAATATTACTGCAATACTTTTCCGTTTGAGTTCCGCTTCTCTTGATCGAGATATGTTTATTGAGTTAACTTTTAAGTATCTGGATTGAGCTGTATTTTTGAAAATGCTTTCCAACTTTTTCGAATAACATGTAATTTTCGAGATGTGGCTCATGATATGAATTTTTGTAGACTAAAATCTAGTTGTTCTCCGTGCAAAAATCCGTCAAGAATTCGATTTGATTTTTGCATACAATTGAGAAGTCAGGAAGAAAAACAGAAAAAACAAGTTTGAACAGATGCAACAATTGCCTACAATTACTAGCTACTATCCGGTCAATATGATTTAGACATCATATCCCTATAAAAAATGACACTAGCTAAAAGAAAAAATTTGATTAACTCTGCTCGAAGATGACTCACTTATACAGTTGGTAGTCTTGAGTAAACCATTGTTTGGTTGATGTGTTCCTCAACATATACAAAGTTTAATTAACTATATAATTCAGGTTAGAATTAAAGTATCAATAGGTGATCATGAAAAAATATTCTGTTTTAGGTCTTAGATCGTAATGAATCGAATGCAACTGTAAATGATTCATATGGACAACTATTAAATGACTCGAAGCTCGAACAACTTTTCTTTTCTTGAAAAGATTATTTAGAAGCAAACTCTATCAAACCTAGTTTTTTAGGGTGTCAAGTATATTGTTGATTTATTTGACTAAAAACAAATAGGTACAATGCTTGTTGAAGACTTAACAATCTCATGGCAATATACAGGATGGTTCAAAAGTTACCGACCAGTCTTAAAGTGTGAATAACTTTTGATAGGAACAAGATCTAGACCTGCGGTTTTCACCATTCGAAAGAGCGATGTTTGGACCATCGATCCATACAATATTCACTAAGACGAAAGATGCTTCTCCATAGGAGCTTTTTAATTGACATTCTTTTTTTGTGTATTTTCATAAATTTTCACAATAATCTCGTCTCAAATTACGCCAAAATGTAGCTCAAATCACCCATTTTTCGTTATACAAGTATCACTATTTTTCGAAGGCTCACTTGAGAAAAGAGATCGACGGAATAATGCATAAAGTGATAATTTTATAGCGAAAAATGGGTGATTTGAGCTACATTTTGGCGTAATTTGAGATGAGATTATTGTGAAAATTTATGAAAATACGCAAAAAAAAGAATGTCAATTAAAAAGCTCCTATGAAAAAGCATCTTTCGTCTTAGTGAATATTGTATAGATCGATGGTCCGAACATCGCTCTTGCGAATGGTGAAAACCGCAGACCTAGATCTTGTTCCTATCAAAAGTTATTCGCAATTTAAGACTGGTCGATAACTTTTGGACCACCCTGTAATCTTCCTGAAAAATAATTGTTAGACTTGACATTTTTAACATATCATTACTGTAAATTAACATTTTGAGAAAATTAATTATATATTCGGCTAGCCCGTAGAATTAATTCTCTACAACTCTATATGTGTATGTTTTTAATTGCACTTGTTCGCTAAAAATAAGTTCAAACACAACAAAAGTACTCTCATGGTCAGATTCCCCATAAATGCATGTTTTGTTTCTTTTCTATCCATTTTTTCAAATTTATTTATAATATAGAAACCAGTTATTACGAAACTAAGTACATAATCTGAAAGTCTCGATCACACTGTACCTTCCCAATCATGATTAGCTATTAATTGTGTAACGTCTGAAAATAAAAAGAACAAAAAACAAGCATCTCGTTATTCTCACTCATGTGTTCTGTAAATAAAGAACGGTTTCAACTGTGTATCAAAACAAACTGTGGTAGCTCTTTTAAACATCTCAGGATCTTCCCCTTCAGTGCTATTGGAAACATGGATTTTAGTCGTCATTACACTCACAAAGGGGTGTATTAGACTTGGCACTAGTACATTTCGTCGCGATCACTTCTTCGCACGATATTTTGTCGCGTTCTATTTGTTGCACAATAGTTTCGTTCGTTCTGTTTGTTGCGTCCCTCTCAATTAATTTTTTTTTTATATAATAAAATAAAATAAATTAAATTAAATTAAAAACTCTAAAGGATGTGCACAATAACAGTAGACAATTGATTGTTCTAATGCATATAACTTTAATTGAGAAAATGGATCAATAAAAGATTTTAATACAATGTCATTCTGATGGAGCTAAAGTGAACGAAGAATAATTAGATTTGTCATACAGTTGACGAGTTTCAACATAATCTATGCCAACGATAACACTGATCCAATGTTCTTAATTATGAGATCAGAATAAAAAAAATATGCATTGATAATATTGAAAATATATTTCATTTCTCCATCTCAACATTCACTGC